CCTGCGTATTTGTTTGAGTGTGAATTTGCAAAATTTACCTATGCGGCTATTTATCACCATCAGATGGTTAGGAGTCGGCCTCACAGCCATTATAAAGGGGTGGGGTAGTTGATATCGGTCCTAATTGGATTCAGTCTGCTTTCCTGAACTCACATGGATTCTGGGTTGGCCAGGTTGACCATTCGATGTTTAATTTGGTCACTGAAGAGAGAATCGGTGAGTAAGGGTATGCTGGGGACGGTTATTTTTTTCAGTTTCAAAAAGTCGGAAGAAAAAATTATATCCGATATCGGTAGCACTACCTAGGGGCATTTTAAATATGTTGCCTGTATCGGGATAGACAACTGTATGCTTTCGACTCCTACCAGCAGATATGTGTAAGGCATCTGGACAGAAAATCAATGAAGACGGTTGGTTGCGCCGACCTTGAAGTAGTAAATAATCATTCACCTAATCTGTGTCCTGGAGCTTGACTATTGGTGGGTCCTGTCACAACTGTAGATTGATTATCATGCCTCGTGCGATGGACCTCTACCAGCTGATGTCTTCCTGGGAAAACTTAAGAACAACCAACTGTCCCCTATTAGAAAGGACCGTTCTTCCTATGCGGGATGTGTAGACGATATTTTTGCAATAGCAGGTGGAAGACTTCAGTTGGACACTCCTTTGGATAAAGTGAATCAGGTCTACCCAGCGTTAACATTCACATTGGAAAATAAGAACGGGCAGTGCGTCCCTTAGCTGGACGTCCCACTTAGTAGAACGTCCAATGGAACAATTAGAGGTGTAACTCGTAAGAAAATGTGGACAGAGCAATGCACAAATTTCTACAGTTTTGTCTTTATAAGTCGGAAATGAACCCTAGTCTGCTGGCTCACTAACCGAGCTAGGTGAATATGTTCTCCGGATACTTAACTTTTGTTAAAACGACCCCCCCCCTTTACATTATTGTAATTTGAACAAGGCGAAGATTACGAGTTGAGCAGAATTTATTGACGTCATAAATTTTGTGACCTCTAATTCATCTGCAAATGGTCATTGCTTGTTAATATAGTAAACTAACTGTCCAATTAGAAGGATCAAGCTTTATAGGTAAATAGTATGGAAAACCTAAGTCAAAAATGT